CGGCCTGCCAGCGCGCCCCTGTCTGCGTCCAGCTTCGCCGGAGGCCCGGCCCTTCCCTTCCCTTTGAGTGGAGCCAAACCTTTTGCCTCTGCTGTCAGCAGGCTTGTCTCCCGTGTCGCCCTGTCTCTTTTTGTTTCCTCATCTTTACAGCCTGATTTGTTTACAGGAGAGAAGTGCAGGGCAGGAGCACGCCCAGGGGAGCTCAGTTCTTGGTCGCTGGGGCTCCTCCGCTGGCAGGAGCGTGTCTTATCTCGGGTCAGCGAGGTGAGACGTGAGTGTTGCTCACCCTGCCCCAGGTGTGTGCCCTCATGTGCCAGATCACGTCACCACGAGTCTTAGCAGCACCGTAAACACCCGTTGCAGACTTCTTTTAACAGCTCTGGAAGCAGGCTGTAATGCAAAGAAAGGCTTTTTTTTACCACCTTGCGAAACGCTTCGCGCGGGGCAGAAGTCATCGCGTAGGAAATATGTCATCAATCTCCCCTACGAGCCAATCAGACTTTGGAATAAGTGGGGGAGTTTCCCAGAAGGCCGCCCCCGATCCCTGCATTAGCTCCTGTCACCCCACCCAGCCCCCGTTAACGGTCCCAGCGCTCCCTGCCCTCCCAGCTACGCAGCAAATCCTTCTAGACAGCTCGCTGTCCCACGGACAAAGCCACTAGACACTATATGCCTCTACCTCTCCCCTGAGCTGCTAACCCTCCCGCAAGTGCCCTTACCTGTCCCTGCCGGCTCCCGCTCCGCTCCCTGCCATCGCTCTGTCGTGCCCAAAGCCATCCGTGCCGTGCCCCGTGGGCTGAAAACCGGGCATTGGTTGAAGAGTTGAGGATTTGGGGACAGAGAAGAAAACTTGTGCCCGCAAGGCTCGGCACCACCCTCCTGTCCCACATCGCTGCCTGTAACCGCCTCTGGGTAAGTTCTGCTTCGCCCTGTGGGCCCTCGCTCTCGCAGGGGCCGTGCCTTTCTGGCTGGAGGGTGTGCGGGTGGGCATCACACCCGACCCATGTTTCCCTAAAACTGAGCAGAGGGG